GAGACCTCGACTCTACAATACATCAAAAAATTAGCCGGGTGTGGTAGCGCACCTGTAGTACTGGCTACTTAGAAGCCTGATGCTGAAGGATCGCCTGAGCCCAGGAGGTCAATGCTGGACTGGCCATGAGTGTACCACTGCACTCCAGCCTGGGTAATGGAGTGAGACTCCAACTCCAAAAATTAATAAGTAAATAAAAGATCTCAAAAGCTGTATACTGTCAGATAGAAAAGCATAGATATATTCAGCTCAACAGCTTCAGAGCATTATGCAATCTTGCATTATACGGTTCAGAAACTAGAAAACGCCTACCAAGAAATGTATCATTCTGTAATACTTCTATAAGAGGGAAATTTACTCTAAGGGGTAGACAAAAAATTATCTCCTGAAAGATAATTGTATGAAAAAGAATAAGGTTGAAGTTTACATTTGTTGAAATACATTAACCTCCGTGCCTGGCCTAACCTCAAAAGTCTTTAATAAATGAAGACCCACTTGCAGATACTGATTTCTTTTTTCCTTTTACTATTTTTCTAACCTTATTTTTGGCCTTGTTTATTTTAAATGTTTTTTTTCTCTTCCTGGCTTCCTCTTCCTTAATCATTTCATCTAGAGTATATAGACCATCTGTCCTTCCAAAAGGACAAGGGACAGGCGTGGGAAGGAGAGTCACAGTGTGAACAGAAAGCCAGGAAAAACCTTGCAGTTTTTTGGCTTCTCTTTTCTGGCCCCTTTTTGCCTGCCCTGCAGCCCCCTGGGGAACAACAGGAAGAACACAGCTTGTATCCATTTGAGAAAGTGGCAATGGCTGCAGAAGGAAAAATGCTAAGCTGTTAGGCTCTCTTCTTAGACACAAAAAAAACATTGAGGTTGGTGGGTGGTATGCTGGAATGCACACGTTCTATTCCACAGGATCAAAAAGACTGGAATTTCTTAATTGTCATTGAAATGAAACATAAGAGATTTCAATTTAAGTGGTATATACATTTAGCTAAGTTAAATGCAAGCCAATGATTTGTATTTTAGGAGTTTTCTTCATTGTGATAATTTTGTGGTAACCTGTGTCTTTTCCCCAAACACCGTCCGTGAGTATGGGTATTGACTGCATTCATATGTCATTCCAGCAGTGCACCCACAGGACTGACCAGGCTTAAGACACAGGTTGAATATTCCTTATCCAAAATGCTCGGCACCAGAAGTGTTTTGGGTTTGGGATGTTTTCAGATTTTAGAATGTTTGCATTATACTTTCTGGTTGAGTAATCCAAAATGCTCCAATAAGCACTTCTTTTGAGCATGACCTTTGAGCATCATGTCTGCACTCAAAAAGTTGAGGATTTTGGAGCACTTCAGATTTCAGATTTTCAGATTAGGCATTCTCAACCTGGACACACTTGACCCTAGAGCCACATAATGTCTAGCTGTTGCCCTTGAAAATTTAATCCAAATGAAGATTCTTGAGATACTATCTTCAAGGCTCCCTAGCCTGAGCATAGTAGGTCTTTAGTTAATATATTTTGAATGAATGGGACATTAGCTCAAGTCTGTTCCCGTTAATAGTTTTGTGTGTAAAGAGTAACAACTCGGCTGGGCTTGGTGGCTCAGCCTGTAATCCTGCATTTTGGGAGACCGAGGTGAGTGGATTGCCTGAGCCCGCGGGTTCGAGACCTGCCTAGGCAACTTGACGAGACTTCATTTCTACAATAAATCAAAAAATTAGCCGGGTGTGGTAGCACGCGCCTGTAGTTCCAGGTACTTGGAAGGCTGAGTGGAAGGATCGCCGGAGTCCGGCAGGTCGAGGCTGCGGGGGCCGGGAGCGGCCACTGCA